GTCAACCCACACACCTCTTGCCCCGCCCACCGCGAGACTGATTCATTCCCCCTGCCCCACCAACTCTCGCCGGCCCAAGTCAAGGCAACCACCCACCTGCTGCAACCAGTCCAACCCCAGGATACAGTCCTCACGGACTGGGGCAAGGTACTGTAGAAGGGGTGTTTCACCCTCGCAGCCCCAAAGTGCACGGTGAGCGTCCTGGGGGTCCGGCTGCCTTGGTGCCCGGCAGGACACCAGGCCTGGCAGGGTGATGGTTGAACCGGTGTCGACGAGGGCTTGGCAGGGTCTGCCCTCGATGAAGCAAGGAAGAAATAAGCCCCGGCTGTGGCCAACAGGCAGGGTGAAGCGCTCCTTCTGGCTTTCCGGAGTGGGGGTACCGTCACTCAAGGGTGGCCTTCCCCCCTTTAGGCCGCCCCGCTCCTGTTTCCCGACGGCCTCCGGAGTTTCCGGGGCTCCAGCACCCGGCACTCCCGTGCGATGTGTCCCCTCTCCCTCACAGCGGTGGCAGATGACCCGCCGTCATCGCTCCCCCAGCATCGCCGCGCTGGCCGTCTTTTCCTCACCATCTGATTACCCGTGCACCCCTCCGTTGTTGCCCACCGGTCTCCTCGAATACGCCATCAGCCTGCTCAGCCAGAGCCAGGGCCTTCTCCAAGGGGACCGGCGCGGCCAGCATCATGTGGCGCTGAACCTCAGTGGGCGCCAGGGCCCAGAGGAACGCCTGGAGCGCTATCTCCCAGTGGGCCTCCTCCGGGAGAGTAGGGTAACCCTGGCGGGCTAACTAGGCCACGTCTGCGGCCGTTACCTTCACTGTTACCTGGATACCTCTTTATTTAGAACTCACTCTTCCCCTTGCCTGTCTGGCTTCTTTTAATCCTTCTGTGCCCGGATTGCAGCGGGTAAGATGTTTTTCCAAGAAAAAAAGAGAAATTTCACCAGAGCCTCTTCTCGAGTCTAAATTTTAGTTTAGAACGATTCAAGCAGGATTTTAGATGAAAGGCAGCGACCTTAAATCAAGCCCAAATCAGAATTGGACCCATTCAGAGCCTACATTACATTTCAGCGTTTAATTCTGAGCAGAAGACCCTCACACCTGAAGAAGGCTTGCGTTTTACCGTCTTACCGCTTTCTTTTTCACAGGCCTGGCGGTAGATTTCTAAGATCGTTTCGCCCGTGCAGTGTATTCCTGAAGAACAGGCCACGAAGAAATATTTATAATTGAATGTAAAATTCAAAATGGCAATAATACCTTGTAATATGCGCTATAATATAATAATTGCTTACACTTATATAGCGCTTTTCT